CACCCGCTGGTCCCAGGGAGGGGGCGCAGGGAGCCGCACCGGCCCCACCCCAGCCCCGCCGGCCGCAGACCCGGCGCGTTCCGGGGGCTCGGTGCTGAGTCGGGGCGCGCAGGCCCTCCTTGCGCTGCAGGGCAGATCCCATCGTCTGCAGTGCCCGCGACCACCAGGGAGACCCCCTCGGCAGCCCTTGGCGTGGAGCGCCCGCTTCCTCCTTGGCCACCTCGTCTTCCCTCACCTCTGCCCAACCCCAGCCCAGCACCCCCCTCGCCCGACTGGCCCCAGCCCCCCCACTCCGGAGCCTTCCATCTTCCCAAGCTCCTGGAAGCAACGCACAAGAATCGGCCGCTGAGCTCAGGAAATTCCCCAAGCCCTGCTCTGTCTTCCAAGCACCTGGGCCTCTTAACTGCATTTGTGAGGCTCTGTTCCTTTGAGGGACCTTGTCCTCTGCCCCTATCACCCCACCCCTGTCCTCTTGACACCTCTCCCAGGTATCTGCCCTCCCCCGCTCTCAGGAATCTGTGTCCTCCTCCCTGCATCTCCCAGTCATCCTAACTACCCCCCCAATCTCTTCCTTCCCAGCATCCTATCTTGCCTCTTATCCTCTGCTGGTGGGGGTGTTGCCCTGTCCTATGAGCCTCCGTCCAGACTTGGAGTCCCTTGCTTACCTCCTTCCTCTCCTGCTCCTCTGGAGAGCCAAGCTGAGTAGCCTGGAGCGCCACCAGCTTTGAGGGCTGAATGGGGAGACTGAAGACATTCCCCATAGGGCGTGCTGGCACCTTGGGTCTTGTCCACCGACCCTCTCTGACTGACCCCTGGAAGGAGTTGCTGCTTGACATATTAAGTGTGGATGGGAGGTATAGGGACGTCAGGGGCAAGCCACCCCCTTAACAACTCATTCTGGCTTTTCTCTTTCAGAAAACCGGCCACTCCCGCCGGGCCTTTGGCCGACTCACCCATGGTGCGTGGACTGTGGCCGTCCCTTTACTAGCCCATTCCCTCTCCTCTTGATCCCTGTCCCTTGATGAGGCATCACGGCTCTGAAGACAGCCCATAAGATGTGGGACCCCTGCCCACACATACACTGTCACCCACCCACCCACCTACCCAAGAAAGCCCCCAGTGCCCTGCAGTCCAGAGAGGGCTTAGCAATGGAGGGAGGGTCACTAGCAAACCCCACCTTGGGCCTGGACTCACCCTTCTCGCTTGGAGGGTTGCAGTGGGGAGGAGCTCACCGTCTTGCTTTGGCTTTTGCTCATCATGGCACCCATAGGGAAATGGAGGCACAGAACCTGACAAGTGGAAAACACGCCCAGGGAACTTTGCTCTGGGCCTAAGCCTAAGCACTGGGGATGCTAGAGGACCTTTCAGCAGATGAGAGGGGCCTGAGGAGGTTGCCTGTCACATTATGATGCAGACAGATGGGGGGTTGTTTTGCAAGGAGTCAGAGTACAGTGCAAATATGGCAATAGAGCCTGGTCCCTAATGGAAGGGTTGGGGTCTGGAGCTGGGCTGGCACTAGGAGGAGTGTCTGTGTGTGTGTGTGTGTGTGTGTATGAGCACACATGGCCAGTGGGACCACAAGGTGTGGAGACATGTGAGCACCAGGAACAGCCAAGGGTGCCAGGATTGCTGGGGCAGTTGGACTAACCAGCCATGGCATGTGGGTTCCCTAGTGCTGGGCACAGGGGGAGCCTGCAGGCAGTTAAAGAATGAGCCATACCTTGCCCCTCCCAGGTTTCCCCCTCACGCCCCTTTCCTATAGGGCATCTCTGGGCACTGGGTACCTTCACACCTCCTCTGTCCTGCCTCCCACCATGCCCTACCCCACAAACGCTCTGATAACAGTCTGTCCATGTCTCTCTCCTGCTGCTCCTATGGAAGCGAAGTTTTCCGCTCCTGCAGAAAGCACAGTTACGGTAGGAAACTGGCTCCTGCCCTAGCCCTCCACTCCCCTGTCCCCAGCCCCAGCCTCTCCTCACCCTGCCTCAGCTGCACCCTGATACATTTCAGCTGGTTTGGGGTTGAGGACAGGCTGGCCCTGCGGTTGGTCAAGTGCCCTGACTGTACGACTCCAAGGTGACTCCCCTTTGTCCCTGGGGTACTGGAACCCAGAAAGTGGGGCCTTGGAACCTAGGACTTTGTTATTTGGGGGCCGCACGGGGACTTCAGGTATCACTGACGAGGGGAGCAGGAGGATGGGAGGAGGCCCTGGTAATCCATTAAGTGGTTGGGAGGGGGGACGGTGGCCTTGAGGCCCCCAGGAGGCAAGGGTGAGTAGGCAGGGGCCTGGAGGTGGAGCCAGGGCACTGGCATGGCAGCCCAGGATGGTAGAGGGGTATGGAGAACAAAAGCAGGAAGACAGGGCACGGGGTGCCCTACCAGTGGTGAGGCAGAACCTGCTGTGGGGGAGGCAGGAGGCAACAAAGGGGAGAGTTGGTGGCAGATGAAGGAGGGCCCTGCCCACACAGACTCCTTCTTTTCCAGACTCGGAGACGGGTGAGGATGACATCAGCGATGTGCAGGGGACCCAGCGCCTGGAGCTTCGGGATGACGGGGCCTTCAGCACCCCCACGGGTGAGCTATTTGGGACGCTCAACGAACAGGCAGGTGGGCTCTCCACAAGAGGTGCCTTGGCTTCACAGTCTCCTCCACGGTCTCCTTTCCCTAGGGGGCTCCGACACGCTGGTGGGCACCTCCCTGGACACACCCCCAACCTCCGTGACAGGCACCTCTGAGGAACAAGTGAGCTGGTGGGGCAGCGGGCAGACGGTCCTGGAGCAGGAAGCGGGCAGTGGCGGTGGCACCCGCCACCTCCCGGGCAGCCCAAGGCAAGCACAGGCAGCCGGGGCCGGGCCACGGCACCTGGGGGTGGAGCCGCTGGTGCGGGCATCTCGAGCTAATCTGGTGGGCGCAAGCTGGGGGTCAGAGGATAGCCTTTCGGTGGCCAGTGACCTGTACGGCAGCGCATTCAGTCTGTACAGAGGACGGGCGCTCTCAATCCACGTGTAAGTAACGGCCTTGCTCTGGCCTGCACCGTTCCACCTCACCACGCTGTCCTGCACTGCCCCTCACTGCTCCATTGGCCTCCAGCCCCATCTGCCCTGCACTGCCCAGACCTCCAAGTGCATCCCTTTGTGCACTCGCCACCCTCACTGCTTCCACTCCATCTTCCCACACCGCGCCACCCTCCTGTGCCATCACCACCCACCTCCCGCTGCTCCCACCTGTCCTGGCTCACCATGCCATCACCACCGTCTTGTGGACCCCTCTGCCCCATCCTCCTCCCTCAAGCTCTCCAGTTTCCCAGGGGCCCTCTCCTGCCTCGCCCATTCAGGCTCCAGTTGTCCCCAGGGTTCCCCCCCCCTCAAGGGCCCCCTCTGTGCCTGCTGTCTCAGCAGCTGTTGCCTTTTCATCTCTCTGCACATTCCTGTTCCCATGTGGGCCTTTTTCTGGGAGGAACGGAACCTTTCCGCACGGCAGCTCCCGGGAGAACAGGAGAGCAACCAGGAGAGAGAAGAGAGCGAGGTGGTCAGGGGGCAGATGGGGCAAGGGGCCGGGGAGGCAGGAGGAGGTTGTGGGTGTGTGGGGGAGAGGGCAAAGGACTAGGGGAGGGAGGGAATGGAGACAAGGGGGAGGTTGGAGGTAGAGGGCTTGGAGAGATGGAGGCCAGGGGGCAAGTGAAACCCTTGTGAGAAATGCCCGAGGGTGGGATTAAGGGATGTCTTGGCAGGGGCGGTATGAAACGGAGGTGTTGGAGTGAGGCAGTGGAACCATTTTTGGAGGTTTGGGGGCTGACAGAGAACAGGAGGGAGTGCTATAGCAGAAGAAGGAGTGGTTAATGATAGAGGTATTGGGGGTATTTGGGGAGCTGAGAGGGGGCCTGATTTGTGATGGGTATGGGTGTGTGTGGGAGGTACCATCATGGTGAAGCAGGAACTTGCCTTGTGATGGGGGAGCTGTTTTGAGGGTGGATGGAGTGGCCAGCGATGGGAAAGGGAGAGGTCCAGGCTCAGGGGATGGGGAACGCTCCCTCGGCTCATTGTGTTAGCATTAACCAGGCACCCCTGTGCCTGGACTTGCCTTTTCCTTCCCTGCCTTCCTGTACCAGGCCCCAGCCGGAGCCTGGAGTTGCTATGGCAACTTCGGAGGAACCCATTTCCTTAGTGATGTCTGTGGTACAGAAGCTGGCCTGGAGCTCTGAGCTGCCGGCAAGAGGCCTCCTAGACTGTCCCCAATTTCTTTCCACACTTCACCCCATTCCTACCCCTGCCCCAGAGGACACTCTGCCTCCTGCAGAAAGCTGAAGTTTTGCTTCCTCCGGTCCTCTCTGTTGCCACCATCCCCAGCCAGCCTGAGGTGGGGTATGTGTCGTGAGGGGCTGACCCAGGTGGGCTAAAACATCGTTACACTCAGGCACCCCTGAACTTCTGCTCATGGACAGTGCCCTATTTATCCTCGCTCTGTACCCCCAGAACCCCAGACATTTTGGAGGGAACTAAGAGCTCTGGTAGCATAGTGGCTAAGACACTTGCCTGCTAACCAGACGGCTGGCGGTTCAAACCCACCAGCCACTCCTCGGAAGGAAGGTTGGGCAATCCTACTTCCGTAGTGATACTGCCTTGGAAACCCAAGGAGGGGTTGCTATGAGTCGGGGCCGACTTGACGGCACACAACAACAACAACAACAAGGGTTCAGGAGTCAGAGTACCTGGGTTTCAGTCCTAGTATCGCCAACCATTTCCTAGTTATATCACCTTGCTAAGGCATTTCACTTCTTGAAGCCTCAGTTTCTTCATCTGTGAATGGGATAACAGCAGTTCCTATCACATAAGATTGTTGTGAGGATTGAATGCATTTTAAACACTCCGTATATGCCTGGCCCACTCTATGAGCTGTTTCACAAGTTTTTATTAAGCGCTCTCTAATGTGCCAGGTATGATGCTAACAGATTTCAGATCTCTTTTCTTGCTAATCTTTATGTTTGATGTGTCCCTCAAGGACCCTGCCAGGAGAAACCGAGGCCTAGCTTTTGGGCATCAAGTAGGTGAGAGGAGTCCTCTGGGCTGACCAGCTCCTTCCCTCCTTTCGTGCCTTGTACAGGGCCACTTGGTCATTTCTAAGCAGATCTATTGGAGGGCTTCTGTGCTTCTCAGGGGGTTTCCAGGAACTCAAGGTACCTTCCCAGGGGGCAGGGCAAGGTCAAAGGCCTGTTCTGGGGGCAGATTGATCATAAACCAGAAGTCCTGATGTCATTGACTTGATTCCAACTCATAGCAACTCTATAGGACAGAGTAGAACTGCCCCATAGGGTTTCCAAGACTGTAATCTTTACAGGTGCAGACTGCCACATTTCTCCTCCATGGAGAGGCTGGTGGGGTTCAAATCACCAACGTTTTGGTTTGCAGCCTTGCTCTTAACCATTGTGCCACCAGGGTTCATTAGATTGATCATACCAAACCAAAAAAGCCAAACTCCCTGCTGTCGAGTCAATTCGACTCACAGTGACCCCTCCTTGGGTTTCCGAGGCAGTATCTCTATGGAAGTCGATTGCCCAATCTTCCTTCCCAGGAGTGCCAGCCTTCTGTTAGCAGTCAAATGCCTTAGGCACTATACCACCAGAGCTCCTAGACTGATCATAGAGAGATGATCCTAGAAGCCCCTCTCCCAGCTCCCACCTGCTGGGTCCTATCAATGCTGGTGATGGTGTTGGGGACAGCTCAGAGGTCTGAGTAGGTGCTTGGCAATCACAGGGATGGGGGGCATTGCTCCCTGAAGGCTGGTGCCTAGTGGAGGAGGCAGTTGCTGCTTTTCTAGGAGCCACGGTGAAAGGGCTATGCTCTCTAAGGATGGGCAGGGGTGTAGGGCCCAGCTGGGGGTAGGAATGAGTGGGGGAGGCTGCATTCCTGAAAGGCATCTTCCCTATCCCACCCTCCCTGCTTCCCTCCTCACTCCATCCTTTGGGTCCAAACCTCATTCTTTTCTCTCTCTCATGCTCAGTTCTGTTTCTGCTGTTTCCCACCTTCCGGAGCTGGGGGGAGGGGGCTGGCCAGAGCCCCTAGTGCTGAGTCTGTACCTGGACCCAGCACTAGCCTATCTCCTGGTGCCAGAGCCGCCAGCCTCTCTCTCCCTAGCACCTGCTCTGGCTGTGCTCCCTTCCTGGGGGGACAAGGGGGTCTGGCCCATGTCACCCTCAAGCCTACCCAGCATGTCCCACTGCTCAGTTCCTGTCACGAGCTGAGGGTCTAGGAGGGGAGTCCCCCTAAAATGTTCTCCCGGTCTTGGTTCTGCAGCAGCGTCCCTCAGAGCGGATTGCGCTGGGAGGAGCCGGACCCTCAGCCTCAGCCGGCCAGCGAAGCCCCGCGCCGCCCGGCTCTGCCGCCACCCTCCAAGTCCGCGCTGCTCCCCCCGCCATCCCCTCGGGTGGGAAAGCGGCCCCCGCCCGGGCCCAGCGCCCAGCCCCCGGCGCCCCCCACGTCGCCACACCGGCGCACGCTGGAGTCTGTGCTGCCCGAGGACACCACCGCCGAAGAGAAGCGGGGGAGAAAGCCCAAGTCGTCGGGGCCCTCGCTGGCGGGCACGGCGGAGTCTCGGCCACAGACGCCCCTGAGTGAGGCCTCTGGCCGCCTGTCGGCGCTGGGCCGCTCGCCGCGGCTGGTGCGCGCCAGCTCCCGCATCTTGGACAAGCTGCAGTTCTTCGAGGAGCGCCGGCGCAGCCTGGAGCGCAGCGACTCGCCCCCGGCGCCGCTGCGGCCTTGGGTGCCCTTGCGCAAGGCCCGCTCGCTGGAGCAGCCCAAGTCCGAGGGCGGCGTGCCGTGGGGCAGTCCCGGGGCTTCACAGGAGGATCTCCGGGCAGCGACGGGCAGCGTGGCCGAGCGGCGCCGGCTGTTTCAGCAGAAGGCCGCTTCACTGGACGAGCGCACGCGGCAGCGCAGCCCGGCCTCGGACCTCGAGCTGCGCTTCGCCCAGGAGCTGGGCCGCATTCGTCGCTCGGCGTCGCGAGAGGAGCTGGTGCGCTCGCACGAGTCCCTGCGCGCCACGCTGCAGCGCGCCCCGTCCCCGCGAGAGCCCGGCGAGCCCCCACTCTTCTCTCGGCCCTCCACGCCCAAGACCTCGCGCGCCCAGAGCCCCGCCACCACCCCGCAGCCCCCTTCGAGCGTTGGGAGCAGGCCTGGGGACGAGCCAGGGAGGCCCCGGAGCCGCGGGCCGAGGACGGAGCTAGGGGAAGGGCCGCAGCAGGAGGTTAGGCGCCGGGACCAATTCCCGCTGACCCGGGGCAGAGCCATCCAGGAGTGCCGGAGCCCGGTGCCGCCCGCCGCCGCCGAGCCCCCCGAGGCCAGGACGAAAACCCCCTTGGGTCGGAAGCGGGAGCCCCCGGCGCAGGCCGTGCGCTTCCTGCCCTGGGCCACGCCGGGCCAGGAGGGCGCTGCAGTGTCCCAGACCTTGGAGAAAAACAGGGCGGGGCCTGAGGCCGAGAAGAGGCTGCGCAGAGGGCCTGAGGAGGACGGGCCCTGGGGGCCTTGGGACCGCCGAGGGCCCCGCAGCCATGGCAAAGGTCGCCGGGCCCGGCCCACCTCCCCTGAACTCGGTAAGGCCGCAGGGAGGGCCGAGAAGGTGCTGGGACATGGGGAGGGGCTTTCTGGAAACTGAGACTTGCTCCGTGGTAGCATCCCTCCCTGGTTGAGGGTGCAATTTATCAGGGAAGGCTTGTTCACAGGTTCGACTTTGAGTGAAGGGTTATTTTACAACCTGTCTGTTGGTCAGGCAGTGTGCAAGTGTGTTTTGGTGGAGATGGGGTGAGGCTGAGGTGTGAGCAAAGATTGTGCCCAAATGTTTTTTGACCCTGGGTCCATGTCCTGCCAGGCTCTTGGGCCAATGACCAAGTGTGGAGGAACCACTTGTGGGAACCTGAGGAGCCCCACCACACCCCCACTCTTCTGTGGGAGATGAGGTCTCAATAAATCATTCATCAGGTCCCTGTTACAGACAAGCTTTGGGCCTGACAACTGCCCTGTGATCTGGTTCCCATCTCCAACCCTACCCTGGCCTATCCTTGGCCACTAAGATCTGGCCCAGCCTCCCCCTCTGCTTCCGGACTGGTCCCTATATGTGCTAGCTTGTGTATTGTCTCCCAGCCGTCTCATGGATGGTGCTCAGTAGCCAGGATGCCCTTGCCCCTTGCTAAAGTCTGCTCATATGGAACATTCAACTCTGGTCCCATCTCCCTGAGAGGCAGAGGAAGCCATCCTCGATATGTTGTCACTTCCTGCTGCTTCCAAGACTAGATGCTGCTCTCCACGGCTCCTCTGAGACCCTGTCAGTGTCTCGTCCATTGCACTTACCACCTTGTATTTTTTTTCATTAAAATTATTTTATTTTTCATTTCATTTAAGTATTAGCACGTCAAAATGTTTAGCAGCCATTATTGCACATACACACAGCCATTGGGTTAATCAGGCGTTGTGCTAACTAGGCACTTAGCAGTGGTATCTTAATCTGTATGGCAATTTTGCAAGGTTTGGGGTGTTACCAGCTCCATTTAACAGATGACAAAACTGAGGTTCAGAGCAATTATCAAGTTTGCCCAAGCTTACGCAGCTAGGAAGTGGGAGAATTTGGATTCTCAACTGCTTTTTGCTAACTTCACTATACTTTATCTAGCTTATAGAATGTCAGAGTTGGCAAATGCCCGAGATCCATGACAGTGGAGTTTTATTATCTCTCTAGGTCTATATGCTTCCTGTAAGCTGGGACAGTGTCTTATTTCATGTCATCTCTGTGTTGCCCATCCCATACAGTGCCTACTATGCAGTCTGTGCAGTGTGACTGTTGGGTTCATGAAGGAAATCACTGGTCTTTTTAAGGCAACTCAGATCACTGCGTGACCCACCTGTCCCTCCTTGTGAATCCAATGACATCTTGCCTACACACTAATTTGACAATGCACCACGTGTTGCCCTGTGACACCATTGTTGCTTAAGTCTTGGGTTGATATTAGCTTATGCACTCTCTTGGCTTTGTGCTCAGACAGATTGTAAGCTTTGGAAGCTTGTAAACTCTTGTGAGCTTTGTAAACCTTGTCCCTGAAAAAAAAAAAAAAAGTTGCCATTAAATCAAGCCCAACTCATAGCAACCCTATAGGACAGAGTAGAACTGCCACATAGACTTTCCCAGACTGGGCTCTTTACAGGAGCAGAGTGTCATATCTTTCTTCTGCAGAGCTGCTGGTGGGTTTGAACTGCTGGCCTTTCAGTTAGCAGACAAACGATTAACCATTGTGCCACCAGGGCTCCTTTTCTGCCTTGCACAGGGCCTGGTATATTGCATGCTAACTGAATTTATGTTAAGACATGTACAGTGCAGTCCCTACCTTTCTCTAGAACTGACATTCTAATTATGGCTGAACTTGAGGTAACGTAGAGTCACAGCTTTCCTGTCCTGTTGGAGAATCCCGTTCTGTCGTCCTCTCTTCCCTGTCACAGGACATTCAAGAGAGACCCCCACCTTCCCTCACTCTGGCCTCTGGAAGCCCCAGTCTCTGGATTTGGTTCTCTGGGATGGGGTTGCTGACGCCCTGCCTGCCGTCATCCCCACAAGGACTGTGTCCCCTAAGCCTGTCCCCTGTATCTCCATCAGAGTCTTCAGATGACTCCTATGTGTCAGCTGGAGAAGAGCCCCTGGAGGCCCCTGTGTTTGAGATCCCCCTGCAGAATATGGTGGTGGCACCAGGGGTGGACGTGCTGCTTAAGTGTATCATCACCGCCAACCCCCGGCCCCAAGGTGAGCTCCAGGGCTGGGGCCAGGCTGAGGTTGAGGCGGGCAGACATGTGAGACAGGGAGGGGAAGATTATCTCTCCCCATTTTCCCCAGCGTCTTCTGATGGAGGGGTAAGGGAGAAGGCAGAGTGTTGGCCCTGACTGTGTGTGTGTATGTGTGTGCGTGCACACTTGCTTATGAGAGGAGATCCCCCAGCATCCTCTAAGACAGGAGAGGGCAGGCCTGGGCTTCTATGAGTTGGGGGAGATACTTCAGAATCCCTTGGGATGGGAAACAGTGGCTTGGGCTCCTCTGCGATATGTGTATGGAGAGGAGATTGTCCTCAGCAGGGCCCTGTGGGCCGTGACTGGCTGGTTCTCCCGCTGCTTCCCCACAGTGTCTTGGCAGAAGGATGGGTCAGCGCTGCGAAGTGATGGCCGCCTTCTCATCCGGGCGGAAGGTGAGAGGCACACCCTGCTGCTCAGGGAGGCTCGGGAGGCTGACGCCGGGAGCTACACGGCCACTGCCATCAACGAGCTGGGCCAGGCCAGCTGTGTGGCCGCACTGGCCGTGAGACCTGGTAGGGAGCCTGTCGACTGGGGCTGGGTGGGAGGGAGCAGTTACCATCCTGGGTGGTGCTGAAGCCGTGGGCCCAGCTCCCTTCCCTCTTGGAGCCTAGGCCTCAGAGTCTCAAGCAGTCTGCACAGTGTGCTGCTGTGATGAAAACATTTTAAGTGGCCTCAGGGCAGGGGCCAAAATCCCAAGACAGACACCAGGCTGGCAATTCGTGAAGTTAGATTTGTCACCGACATCTTCTGAATGTTGTCCTCCCGAGGTATTTCTGTCACAGGGTCCTGTGGGGAGAGTAGTTTGGCCTTGAGTTTCTGAGAACAAGAGTCTCTCAGCTCACAGGACTTACAAGCCACTAACCACCTTCGGAGGTCATTTCCTCTCTAGGCCAAGTCCACTCTGTAAAAAGTGATGCATTCAACCCTCCTTCTGCTTCTCCTGTTAAATCCAAAGCCCTAAAGAGGGTGCGGGAGCTCTGGTAGCATAGTGGCTAAGACACTTGCCTGCTAACCAGACGGCTGGTGGTTCAAACCCACTAGCCACTCCTCGAAGGAAGGTTGGGCAATCCTACTTCCGTAGTGATACTGCCTCAGAAACCCAAGGAGGGGACTATGAGTCCAGCGACTCGACGGCACATAACAACAACAACAACAACAAAGAGGGTGCAGCTGAGAGCAGCCCTCAGGCGATGGCTGTGGTGGAGCCTGCTTTGCTTTCTATTTTTATGAAAGCCCTTACTTGGTGTCAGACTACTTCCTTTAGGTTTAACTCCAGTTTCTTTCTGGTTGGGAGCAGGGCCGGACCCGTATCAGTGTGCATGGCCAGTTCAGCTCATTCAGGTTGCCGGGCCTGACAGTGTGCTTGACTCTGGACCACAGGGGGAGGTGAGGCAGCAGTGGGGGCTCACAGGAAAAGACAGACTCGTCCCTGAAGGCTGTTACAGTTGGGTGACCGAACCCATGTCAGAGGACCATGCTGGGCAGATGAAGCCTATGCTGAGCGCAGTGGAGCCGTGTTCTGTGAAGTTGTGAGGGAGACACGCCAAGGAAGAGCTCCTGGAGTAGCTGAGACCTTCTCTGGGCTTAGAGGGGACTTAGCTGGGACTTAGAGGGGCATGACGTGCCAGAGGGGGAACAGCACAAACTGTTCTGTTCCTTCCTTTCACTCAGCACCACAGGAGAGAAGATGACAGGGCCTGTCTGCTGTGGTCTCTGGGCCTCAGCACCTTCACTGTGAGGGGGTTCTTTGTGGTGTCTGATCTCAGGCCCAGTCCTAACCTAAATCCTTTGCTTGCAGCCTATGGCTTTGAGGAATGGTCGGTCTTCATCTTCCTCAGCTTGCTTGTCCCACTTGGGTGCCCATGAGTTAGGCTCTCTCCTTCTCCTCACCCCTACTGTGGCGCTGAATCATACTGGTCCCTCCACAGCGTGCTTCCGTCCTTCCATCACCACTGGGATCTGGCCTCTGACTCAGCTCCCGGCTCCCCTTCGGGGCCCAGGCCTGGTTCCAGGACTCCAGTCAATACCTGGCTTGAGCTGAGATTTGGCCAGGGGCGGGGTGGGGAGCGTGCCCCAGGGCTGGCGCGGGGCCATCTGGGAGCCTTTTAAGGGCGGGCAGGAAGATTGGGACGAGGCAGCTGTCAGCACTTGACTGGGAGTTCTGTGTTTGCAGGGAGAAGCTCCCTGTGCTTCAGCGTCCTCATTTGTAAACCAGAGATAATTATACATACCATCCTCACAGAGGAAGGCGAGTGTGTGAACACGCTTTATGAACTGCAAAGCTGTAGACAAATGTTGGTTGTTAGCGTTATTAAGGGGTGATGTGCCTAGGAGCACAGGTTTCCACCAGGCCCTGGGAAGCCACGTTTTCCTTCTCGGCTCTTTCTTCAGACCCTCTGCTCCTCCGGGACTCCACCTCTGCCCTGGCAAGGGCCCCTGTCCCCAGCCCCTCCATATTTTCCAGCCCTTGTGTCCCCAGCCCATCATGCATCTCTGCACCTCGTCCACTCTGGGGACCCAGAAAGGCTCCACGGCGTTAGTCATTTAGGCCAGACATTGGCCACATCACAACCCCGTAAGTCAGGTTGGCTTGCGGGCCCTGGGGCCTGAGGCGCAGGCACGTCAGGCCCAGCTCGGCTCTGGCTCTCTGTTTCTTACCCTACAAGGCACTGTTTGGTCCAAAGTGGCTGGACGGGGGCCAGTGGACCCAGGGAGCAGTGAGAGTGGGCGGAACCAATGGGTGGCACAGATATTTGAGGAAGGAGGGGTCCCAGGCTAGGGGAGGTGTCTGGCAGTGTGGCTGTGGGTGGGTGGGGAGAAAGTCAAGGGAGGGAGTGTGTGGTGGCGTGTGGAAGAGGCCTGTGTGAAGTCACCTCCCTTTCTTCTCACTGTCCCCCTTAGTGCCATGGTAACCAGGGCTGGCTGCCCAGCGCCCCCTTAGGGTACCCACCAAACAGAGCCTGCTTTTGAGAGCCCACTGAGCTCAATGCCTAGTTGGGAACCATGGAAACCAGGGAATGGGTAACTAGGGAATGTGGTGAGGATTGGGGGGTGGGGGCTCACCAGCTCCACAGCCCCACCCAGCCCTAGGCCCCTCCACCACCCTCCCACCCTAGTGACTAGCTCCTGGAGGTGTGTGTGTTGGGCAGGTGGTTGGGGAGTGTGAGAGGTGCGTTACAGAAGCTAATCGTTCTCGGCTGATGCCTGCATCCATCGCCTGAGTGTTGAGAACCTTCTGGCTGCCAGGTGCTTCATCTCTGTAAACCATCGCTTCTATCCAGAGCTTGCCAGTTACTTTTTCCAGACCCTTTCACATCGCTTCCCTTATTTGAGCTACATCATGCTACATCCCCCTGGGAGGGACATGTGATGGGTGACACTATTCCCATTTTACAGAGGGGGAAACAGAAATGTAGAGAGTGAAATAACATGTTAGCACCAGGCCAGCTGCCTTTACTGCATGTCTGCAATCTGTCTAGGACTGTCATAAGCAACGTATGATTTAGGATGGTGGGAAAATTCACACATGAAACTAATAAGCTTAATGTGGATGGAAGCTCAAAATAACAGCAGTTACCATTACTGAGCCCTTCCTGTGTGTCAGGCCCTGACTGCATTATCACGTTAAATCCAATCCTATGAAGCAGGCATTATTATTATCCCTGTGTTACAGAGGAGGAAGGAATCCCTGGGTGACACCAGTGGTTAAGAATTTGGCTGCTAGCTAAATGGTTGACAGGTGAGACCCACCCAGAGGTCCCTCAGAAGGCAGGCCTGGCGGTCAGTTTCTGAAAGAAAGGTCTCAGCCCTGGAGATGTTATGGAGCAGTTCTACTCTGCATAGGTAGGGAGAGTCAGAATGGATTTAATGGCTACTAGCAACAGCCACAACAGGTGAGCAGACAGATCCTTGGGGAGCTCCAGTAAATTGTCTAGAGCAGCACTGATAAGTAGAACTTTCTGTGGTGATGGGGATGTTCCATGTATATACACTGTCCAGATTAGCTTCATGTGGCTGTTGAGCACTTGAAGTGTGGCATGACTGAGAGTGAGTGTGTCATTTCATTTCATTTTAAACAAGGTACATTTAAACTGTCTCAGTGCCCAGAGCCCACCCTAATGGGAAGCTCACTCAGCTGTGACCTTTTGAGAGCAGATCTCCAGGCCTTTCTTCCATGGCACTTCTGAGTGGGGAGTTCGAACCACCATTCTGATTAGTAGTCAGTCATTTAGTTGTTTGCATCACCCAGGGACTCACAGAGCGTGAGTTGAAGGCTGGGGCCATGGTTTGAATGAAGCCCTGCCTCTGGGTCTCCCAAGCCCATGCTGCTAACCTTGCACTCTACAGTCCGGTTTCCTGCTGTGCTGAACAGGTTCAGGGTTATGGTAGAGTTGTGCTCATGATCTCACTGGGAGGGGGAGGCAGAGACTGCGCACTGGCCATTGGGTGGGGTTTCTGTTGACTGCCCACCTCTGTCATGGCTGTAGTCCTGCTTTGTTTCTTTGCCTGCCTAATGTGGGCATACTCGGCTCACCCCCACATCTCGTGGGTTCTGACAGGAAGAGTAGAAAGTAGAGGGCACCCATGTCTTCAGTCCTTCCCTCTAACATAAATCAACCCCCCAAAAAAACCAAACCCACTGCCATCGAGTAGATTCTGACTCATAGCAACCCCCACTGGGTTTCCAAGGCAGTAAATCTTTATGGAAGAAGATTGCCCCGTTTTCCTTCCACAGAGTGGCTGGTGGGTTTGAACTGCCAGAAGGTTGGCAGTCAAATGCCTTAGGCACTGTACCACCAGAGCTTCTTCCCCTCTGGCATAGGTCTTTTTATTTTTTTAAATTTTTATTGTGGTTTGGGTGAAAATTTACAGAGCAAATTCATTTTCCATTCAGCAGTTCACATATACTTTGTCTCATGACATAGACTACAATTTCCCACAATGCAACAGCTCTCTTCCCACTTCCTCCTGATAGTTTCCTCTTCCCTGTGTCCTTCCCTCCCATGTACTCCTGCCCCCTGATCTGTCTCCCTGTGCATACACAGCCCTTCTTTCTCCCATGATTCATCTCTCCAAGGAATGTATCTACCTTGTGTAAATGTTCAGCTCATATGCCTGTCTTTTGTTTGGATGGAAGCCACAGGAGTGGGTTCAATTCCAGACCTGAAGGCCAGCTAGGGGCCATAGTCTCAGGGGTTCCACCAGGTTCTATCAGACCCGCAAACCTGGCCCCCCCCCCTTTTTTTTTAGGTGATTTTGAGTTTTGTTCCACATTGTTCTCCCTTTCTATTCAGGATCTCCTGCACCAGTCCACCTCCCAAGTGGTTGACAGTGGTACCTGGGCACCATCTAGCGCTTCTGGTCTCATGGTCATATAGGCTGAGGATCACATAGTCTACCAGTCCCTTGGACTAATTGCTTCCATACATCTTTGGTTTTCTTCATTCTTCTTTGCTCTGGACAAGGAGAGACCCATCATTGCATCTAGATGACTGCTTGTAAGCTTTTAAGT